ACACACACACACACACACACACACACACACACACACACACACACACACACACACACACACACACACACACACACACACACACACACACACACACACACACACACACACACACACACACACACACACAAAGATCTCATACACTAGAAGACTTTCTCTGGAAGACTTATTGGAATACATAGAAATAGCTAATAAATCAATTTAAAAAACAAAATTAAGAGGGAAATGGTAGACTATGTTGTTAAGTCTTCCAGTAAGTCTTCTAGTTCCTTATATCGTAGAAAGGTTAAGTCTTTTGAACCCAAAAATCAAATATATAAAAAATCACAAACAAAAATGTTATGAAACTTAAAATCACTTCTAAAGTGTTAAATATACACAAAACTAAACACATATATGTCAAATTTAGTTTTTTTTTTTAAGTTATGATTTTAAAATATAACCCTAAAAACACATACAATATTATAACATAGTTACTAAACCCTAAACCAGAGTATCATGACTCAACTTACATTCACTCATCTATGTTGAAACTATTCAATTTTAGTAAATCTAAATTTATATCATTTAAAATATCTATAATTACATGATTATAATTTTTTCCTAATGAAAATATTTTTTATAAAGTTAATAAATTATTTTTAAGATTTACAACATGAGAAGACTTGACTTCCTTGAAAGTTTTCTCACTCACGATGTTATAATGGTAAACTGCAATACTGATTTTTTGTTTGGTCACGAGGGGATGATTGTAATTTCACTAAGTTTTGAGTTACTTTTGCATTTGATTGAAGTTGGGATACACCTTTACATTTAAAATTAATTTTTGAATCATATTTGGAAAATTTCTCTTAATATTATGCTGAAAATAAATATAATTTGAAGAGAAATTCTAAAATGATATTTTTTGGATAACAAGAAAAATGTTAAAATACTTTTTTTGAGAAACAAATTGAGTATATATTAAAAATGTTCTCATGGTGGAATAGTTTCACAAGAGATTCCACTACTCTTTGCATCAGCACCATCGGTTAATGCATCCACATTTGAGCCAACAAGCCAATGGCATTAGATTCTTCAAAGTTTACAAATGGACATACAATAAACTAGCAATAACCATCAATCTCTTAACATATTTAGACTCAGTGTGGTGGTTCCACATGTATCGTGATTAACCTTATAAAAATAAATTTCATGGCCTTGAAAGAAAATCTATCTAACTTGTTTTGTCGGGACTTATAAATGAAAGAAGCATAGGTTCTTCTCAATAGTCTCTCAATGGACGAAACTCCAAACATGTATCTTTCATGTCCTTCTTTTTTGCCTCTATAAATTGCAAACCATTGAGGATGTGAGCTTCATGCAAAGACGGAGGAAAAATAATCTCTTCTTCTTTTTGAACATTGGGTAAAATAATCTTACAGTGTAGAAAAGGGTGATGAAAGAGACAAAGAGAAAGTTGTTGGTGAGTGTGAATGTTCTTGGAAGCGTTGGTCCTATAAGGTTTTTGGCCAATGAAGACGATAAAGTTTCAAGTGTTATTAACACAGTTTTGAAAACCTATGCTCGTCAAGGCAGGATCCCGGTTCTAGGGTTCGATGTCAACAACTTCATTTTCTACTCCAATAGTGCAGGATTTAACAGTATTTTACACAAAACTCTCTTACCACTTTACGTGTGTTACTTTACAGTCGCGTATATTCTGGACTAATCTGAACTTCAATAAGGAAATAATCGGGTTCTAAAAACACGTGAAAATTGTTTGCATGAATTAACGCTGTCTTAAATTTATAGTATAAAATTATTATCAGTAGTAATCTGTCTGTATCACTGTTTTGGTGTTAGCTTTGAATCCACAAGAGAAGATTGGCTCAATGGATGAAACGAACTTCTTGCTCTGCAAGAAAGAGCGAGAACCACTGGAAAAGGTCGAAGGAAGAAGAGAGCGTAAAGCTTGGGAGGTCCATGGTTGGAAAAATCGTCTTCGTCGGGTCCTTATTAGGATAATTTCCATACAAACACAAATCTTACTCTACAAGAGTTGCAAGAGCTAGATCATTATATCAGTGATCCTATTTCGTGCAAATATAGATTTCATTAACCTTTACGGCCTTTTCAATACAAATGTTATTACTATAATATGGTAGATAACAATTCCTTTTTTTTTGTCCACTGGTAGATACAATCATACTATTCCAATACTGCTACTTATATATATATTTTTATGTATATTCTCGTTTGACGATTTTAGCTGCTGCTTCTGTAACACTACTTTCCTGAAATTAGATGCAACTTCCATATATATAAAATGTCATCATAAGTTGTTAAACAGGATTTTGGTAACATTACCAGAAAAAGTGATCATACCATAATATATTGAATCTGCAGCAGTAGTACCTGGGAAAGGTGACTACAATTGCTCTAGACAACATAAAATAGTTCTTTGTGTTTTTTTTTTCTGTTACTGAGCAAACGCTTAGAAGAATCAAAGCATATAAGAATTTCACAATCCCTTGAACAATTTTTTTTTCTGAGCAACCCTTGAATAATCTTAGGAGTCATAATTTTAAGAGGAATTACTTGAAATGAATCTAGTTTAGCTTTTTTTTTTTTTTTTAACAACGAAAGGCTGATCTATTACTCAAGTTTGAGGTAGTTTGGGAATCCAGACCGGAATAGAACAACCAACAAACATGAGATCACGATAAAAGGATCGGGTAGTCTTAGCTAAATGATCGGACACAACAATAAGAGATCTAGGTACATAAGTGATCTTGAAGTTTGGGAAACAAATCCTCAGCGTCGAGATCCTCTCCAGTTCCGTCGAAAAGCTTGGCCATCCATGGGGATCCATGAGCATTGCTACCAATTCCTTGCAGTCCGTCCCAAAGCTCTGACATGGAGAATGTTGAAGCATGTTCTCCATTGCCCACCGCCGTGCTTCCAACTCAGAATGCAAAGCCGACTCCACTCTACTCACATTACGCATCCCCATCAGCTGACTATTTCCCCTGGAGAATTGATCTATAGAGGTCCAAGAACCGTCTATCATGCAAATATCTCGTACACTTATGGCCTGACGTTCAGTATCGCCGGTCTCTTGTGTAATCACAACTTCCTGCTCATTAGCTTGGAACCAGGCAAGACACTCACTTTCTGCATACCGGGCCAGTTCCAGAGGGTCTCTATCTATTCGTCTGAACAACTTATCATTCCGAGCCTTCCAAATGTACCATATTAACCAATGATAAGGATCCCTGACTAATTCTGGCCCATAAATGGCCTTCTTCCGCTAGAATAAATAATCCATATTCGCATATGTGCTCTCCAAAGGGAACAAAGTTGGACTGGTGGGTATAGATGCTAAGGCGCATACTTGTAAAGCCGGTGGGCATTGAAAAGTTGCATGTGCAATTGTTTCATCCGGTTCTCCGCATCGTGGGCAGAAATTATCGCATCTCATGTGTCTATGATTTAGCGCACTCGTAACAGCCACCTGTCCCGATATAATCTGCCACATAAGATGGCACATCTTCGGGGGTGCTTTAACCTTCCAGACCTGTGCTTGGAGCCTTTTGATGCTAGGTGCATCTACCAGATTCTCTTCCTCCTTCCTTAGTATATTTCGAGCTACCCAATAGCCGGACTTGACTGTGTACTGCCCGCTCCTTGTGTAACTCCAGCAGTGTGTGTCTCTGCGATGGGTTGAACTAATTGCCATACTCCTTATGAGAGGTATATCCGCAGCGTCAACATAATTTGCCAGCCGATCCAGATCCCAAGACTTTGTTTCTTGATTGATAAGATCACTCACTCTCATGTTCGGATGCAGAACCGGAGCAGATGCATGAGCTAGTCTCGCTGGGATTGTGGGAATCCATGGGTCCTCTCCCATACCTTTACTTCATAACCTGAATGACTTTTCTGTTTAACCCCCAATAGCAATAATTCACGTGCAGCCGAGATGCTTGTCCACACATATGGTGGGCTGCTGACAGTGAGCTTTCGCAAAGGCGAACTTAGTCGATAATACCGCCCTCTCATAACTCGAGCTACCAAGAAATCTGGATTTTGGGCCAATCTTCACAACTACTTTGCTAGTAACGCCAGGTTAAACTCATGGATGATCCTGAATCCAATTCTTCCTTCCTCTTTAGTAGACATAGCTTGTCCCATGTTGTCCAGTGTAAGCCTCTCTTTGGTGGGTTTGAGCTCCACCAAAACTGTGCAATGGCACTAGCTAAGGCATCACATATCTCCAATGGGAGCAGAAAGCACGACATAACATAGGTTGGGAGATCTAACATGATTGACTTAATCATTACTTCCTTTCCACCTCTAGATAACCACCTGCCCGTCCATGCATCCACTCTATTCCGAAGTTTGTCTTTTAAGAATGCAAACAGCCTACATTTTGAGCCACTGATATCCTCTGGTATCCCTAGGTAGGTTCCCATTTCTGCTTCATTTTGTATCCCAAGTGTATCTTTGATCTCCTGCCTGACCTCTTGACCGATCCTCTTACCAAAGAGTAAAGAAGACTTGTCAAAATTAATGCATTGTCCAGAGGCTTGTCCATATTTCCTAACCGCTTTCATTACTTCTTCACATTCACGGGGCTCCGCCTTACAAAAGAAAAGGCTATCATCAGCAAAGAGAAAGTGGGATACCGACGGACACGCACGCGTGATGCGCATCCCCGTTATCTTTCCCTGATTCTCTGTGTGATTAAGAAGGCTAACGAGCGCTTCCGTGCATAGAATAAAAATGAAAGGTGACAAAGGATCTCCCTGACGTAGACCTCTCTCCGGGACAATATTTCATCTTGGCTGTCCATTCATAAGTACCTTGTACTTTACTGTTGTTACACATCGCATACTCCAGGTAATCCAGACTTCTGAGAATCCCATCTTCCTCATGATGGTCATCCTCTTATTGAGCCCACTTGGTTTTGTTCTTAAGGCATGGAACAATTCCTGGGCTATCATTATGTTGTATGATAGCTGTCTCCCAGCAACAAAGGCTGACTGGGTTTCAGAAATCCTATCTGGAAGGACCTTTTTTAGTCTTTGGCATAAGAACTTGGTATAATCTTGTAGCAACCGTTACAAAGACTAATGGGTCGTAGTTGACTCATCTGGTTTGGCTTGTCAACTTTTGGGATATGGCATATATTAGTCTCATTTAGACTAGTCGAAATAGTCCCTTGAAATAGGAATTCATTAACCATACGAGTTAAATCATCCTTAACGATATCTCAAAAATTTTGATAGAACAAAGCTGTCATTCCATCAGGTCCAGGAGCTTTCTCAGGATTCATAGCAAAGAGAGCTAATTTAACTTCCCACTCTGAAACCGGAGCTGTGAGACCCTCATTATCTGCAGGCGTAATCGTAGTGGTAACTTCTGAAAGTGCCTGCTCAATCTCCTCATGGTTCGATGATTGAAAGATTTGGCGAAAATAGCTAGTAGCAATGGCTACCAGGCCTTCCTCATCCTCCACAACATTCCCATCTGCATCTAATAGTTGGGTTATCCTGTTCCTCGCTCTTTGCTGCTTCGTTAAAGCATGGAAAAATTTAGTGTTTCGATCTCCCTCCCTTAACCAGAATACCCTACACTTCTGCTTCCAGAATAATTCCTCCGCCTTAAGGGTATCAGACAATTCTTTAAGAGCCGCCGATATCTCCTCTGTAGTGGCATCATCATTGGAGAATAATCGATCCACCATTTCCTTTAACTCCTCTACACTTTTCTCTGAATTCAGATTGTGTTGTCTTTTCCAATCACATAACGCTCGCCTGCAGCTCGTAATATGCTCCATAATACTTGCACCCGGTGGTAGATCTGGTGATTTCCATCCTTCAAGTATAATCTGTCTGAGTTCCTCATTCTGAAGCCATCGCTTATCAAATTTAAAGTTTTTCGATCTCCGTGGTTTCTTTTTAAGAATATCTGTCAGGACTGGACGATGATCCGAACCCCAAAGCCTCAAATACTGCACTTTAGAATGAGGAAATTTCTCATGCCAGTTTTCATTACCCACAGCCCTATCAAATCGACATCTAATGGTAGCATTTCCTGCTCTTCGTCCTACCCATGAAAGCATGTTCCCTTTAAAAGGAAAATCCATCATACCACAATCGCTGAGCATCTGCTTAGAAGGCAAGAAAGAACTATCTGTGCATTGTCTTCCTCTTTCCTTCTCTTCATGACAAGTAATTTCATTAAAATCATCAATCATAAACCAAAGTCCAGTTCTAGTTGTTGAGAAACGCGTTGAATCTAGTTTAGCTTAAAATGACTAGAATGACTTATATTAAATTTTAAATACTAGACTCAGTTTAGATATAAGAAAATTGAAAAAAGAAACCTTTACCATAAAAAAATAAACATAAAACATAAAAATATAAAAAACAAAGGTTCAAAAAGGGAAGAAAGGTTTTTTTTTGGTCGTGTCTCCCTCTCTACCAGACATCGATGAAGGAGAAATCCCTGATTGAGTCTTGTTGTCAACCTTATCTCACTCCGACAACAACTCCTCTGTCTCAGCCCTCCCTTGATTTCTTCATCTCGTCCGTCACAAGTCCCCTTCGTCGTCTTCATCTCCTCCGTCACATTTCTTCAGTTTCTCTTCGTTTTTGAAGTGACAAAATTGAACCTGTAAGTGCTAAATCTATTCTTTTTCAAGTTGCTTCTACACGCTTTAAACTATTATTGCTTGATTGCATGTTTAATTCAAAAAAATGCTAAATCCCAATTTCATGGTAGCCTAGTAGGTATGAGACATGCAAAGAAAGTTGTATTAGGGACCATGCCTAGTTACTTAATCTTTGAGTTCTGGGCTTGTAAGACAGTTTAGTAATATATTTATACCTTCATTGATTACAAGTTTTTGGCTCTGAACTCTGGAACACAATTATGTATATAGTACCAAGGACAACTTTTCCATCGTCCATCGGAGAAATAAAAAGTTATCAAATCCGCAAATGAGAAGTAGGATATTTATTATATTTTGTTTCTCTTTTTGGTTTGAATAATACCCTGTTATAAT